CACTCAGTGTACATACCAGCACCTCCAGAGTAATCAGTGCAATTGCAATGGGTATTCGAGCATGTAACATTGCCGTGTCCAGTACCTTCACATACTCCCATCTAAACTCTTAATGAAAAACTCCAAACTTCCATATGTCACAAATCACAACTGTTTATCTGGTGTAGCTCATATTCTATCCAATTAAGAGAGTGGTCCAACAACTTATGGAATGTTAGTTTACACAATAATACCAACAATTACTTTTGTTTTATGACTAAATTATAACATTTAATTTACAACTACTAACTGGCAATACATTTCAAATGTTTTTAATAAATGGAGTTATTTCCTATAATTACATTTGTGCATCTTAGGCTGAATAATATATATATACTCATTTTTACACGATTTTTTTTTGGTCTGTTTCTTGCTCATCTTAATCCTTTTCAGAAAATGCATTTATTAGTAATATATATGGGCCTGGCATGACCTGGTGGTTAGAGCACTTTACTTCTAATCTGAGGGACAAATATCTAAATCCCTGTTGTCGAACATGCTCATCCTTTATTGTTGTCAATTGGGCCAGACACCCAGATGTAAAGATTACTGGTTGAGCACAGACTAGTTGGGGCTAAGGCAAAGAAAAAGAAAGGAAAAAAAGAAAATATATACATTTATATTAAATTTAATTCAAAAGTTTTCAAAGCACATCATAACCACCTCTTTGTTTAAACTGGTGAAGAATTATGACGAATTTGAATTATTTTCACAGCTCTTTCATCACTGATGATATATCGTTTATGAACACTAATAAGGTAAGTTTACATAGGTCTCAAACTCAGCATTATAGCCATGTATTTCAATATCTTCATTCTAAATGAATAACTTTATAAATATTCCAGCATTAAATTTGTATTAGATTTAAAAATAAGTAGCATTTTCTGTTCCCATCTCAAAAAATGTTAGAAACTACAATATTTACTTCTGTTTCTGTAAGAATGCAGCTCTTACAATGCTTTTAATTCAACAAACAGTAGCAAAATAATTTTCACACAAGTATATATGTATGTTTACAAAATTTTGATATGCAACAGATCTAATTGTACTTTTATGATAGCTTTCACAGTACATTTTGAGGAAGGATGTCTATTTATACAGGTATGATGTTTTAATCACTGGTGCAATTATTCTTAAGTACACAGCTTTAGCTTGATTAAAAGCCATGTGCAGGAGTTTGTTGTCTATTAATTATACATTCAACCAGAATTACCAAAGTATGACTTGTTTTGTATTACCAACTTAACAAAGCACAGGATATTCTTTTATATCTAATGTACCACTTAACTCAGTGGATAATACTTTTATACAACAGCACAGGATTATTTAAAAGCTGATTTCTGCTTTACACATACTTAACATTTTAATTATTCAGTGCATTGCAAAATAAGTTTTTCATTTACATAATAATACACATTTATAAGTACTGTAACTTACTTATTCTCACAAGTATGTTTTTTTTTCAGCTGGTGTTATATGCTATATATGTGTTTTTTCTATAAGTTTCAAGACTTGAAAAACCTTTAATTGTAACTTTCCAAAAAATCTAGTAATGTTAAATCATCACAAATGTCTGTTATTTACAGTAAGTTGCCCTGCCACTCCAAAGTCAGCAAGCTTTGCATGTCCTTCATTGTTCAGCAGGATGTTTCCAGCCTTAATGTCCCTATGAATCTTCCTACGCTGATGTAGATATTCCAACCCTCTCAATGTATCTGACAGGATTGTAGCAATTTCTTCTTCTGTAAGCTGTCACAAGGTAGAGTAACTATTATTCAATATGAAAAGGTATAAGCATACAACACAAATTATATGTAACACATAAGACCTCCTAAAGAGATAATAAAAGTCTCAAATGAGACTATTTATCATCTTTTCACAGTATGAGTTTTAACACAAAAACTGGATGATAAGACTAGAAAAAAATATAGTTTAATAGCATAGTTGCAATTGACCTTGTAACCACCATAAAAAAATTAGGAAATAATTCTAAATTATCCTTTTTCATTTCTTGAATGACTGCAAATAGTAAATAGTTATCCTAAATAGCTTAAAGTTTATAACAGTATACATGTGTTTCTACTTAAATTTTATTGTTTGATTGCCCTTTGAACCATGTCTAACTAATTAGACATGCCACAAAAGTTGTAATTCAATTGGCAAATGTGTAGCCCACAATACCATATTGAATTACATAACACACAGGCTACTTGCAAGTATACCTCGTAAAACTTTATTATTATTATTTTTTTCTTTATTTTACCAAATCTAGCCTAATGGGTTTCTAGTTTTTACATTTTAGTTACAATAAATAAAGAATACATATGAAAAACAAGAAATATAGTACTTACCTAGGTCTTTTTTTTGCTTGTCGACTGTTGATAAAACTTAAGCCTAATTTTTAATAGTAATGGTACTACCACACTAAATAATTTTTTATTTAATATAATGCTGCACCTAAGAATACAGGTTAATAACATATAAAACACAGACAAAGCCCTATAATTATCATACTTTTTCTGGCTTTATAACTATGTGATAAGAGTCATTAAAAATTCAGCTAAGTTCCTCAATGTGTTTCTCGTGGGAATTAAATTTGAACTGGAAGCAAAATAGACAATTCTCTGTACAGAAAACAGACTAATATATCATTTGATACATTAAAACTTTGGCTTTCTATTGGTTAAAAATAATATAGTATTAAACATCAGAGAGAATGTGAAAGATGGGCAGAGCAAGATGGGTCTGATTTTTTACTTTATGACTCTGTAACCAAATAAGATTGAAGGCTATAAAAATAATTGTTTGCCTGAGTAATAACCATATTATAATGAGTAGCTTCTATTTAATCATGTGCTTCTCGAAGGGGTGTTAAATAACTTGGTGAAAAGGGAAGCCTAGAGAGCAAATGTCACAATTTTCATACTAGGGGAGATTCAGGATTTTTTTTAATAATTCCTTATAAAATGAAGAACTCAAAACTTATATAATATTAAAATCTGATTTATTAGCTACATTTTGATGCCAAGTTTATTTGTATACATTGACAATAAAATAATTTAATTAAATTTTGAATGTAACTCTGTAAAAATTTGTGATATATGCACTTTAATCTACCGAATGAGATAGTGTTAACTCTCTCATTGCAGGCTAGGTCCCAGGGACCGACCTTGTAACCTTTTTGTGTTTGTTATAGTTTTCATACTATAACTTTTAATACAGCATGTATATATTCACAAAATTTTGCAGATTATCAGTAAACATTCATTACCTGTTTTTTGTACACCAAATATCAGATTTTTAAAATTAAATTTAAGATTTTTTTAAGTAATGATTTGCTCGTGCAAAGTAATTTTGATTTTAAGATTAAAAGTACTTTTATGCATCAGAATATTGTCATATGCAAAATTTGTATAACCTTCAGATAATTATAAAATTTTTCTTTAGAAGAAACTATATTTTATCTGATATTTTCACTATTTTATCTCTGTATGGGTTTGGTTGATTTGACCGACCTCATAACCAATATAAAAAAATTAGGAAACAGATATAAATTATGCTTTTTTCTATCTAGAATGACTACAAATTATAACATGAAACCACAAATGTTTAGTCTAAATAGCTTAAATCTCATAACATTATACTTCTATATACATTTATTATTTTTATTTTATTGACGTTTCAGCCATATCTAATTAACGTTACAGAAGTCACAAGGAAACAGGGTATGTGCAATCATGTTACCATATCCAGTAGCATAAAACTGGCCTTTACAAAATGACCTGTCTTTGCTTTGTTCTAGTGGACCAGTATTTTGTAAAATGCAGTCACATTTTGATTATAATACATTACATATGTATATATATTATTGCTATTTCTAAATAAAATAAGTACTTAAATTTCAGTTATTTTTCTTAAAACATAGAACATTAAATAAAGAAATATAGAAAACAATGCTTTCTATTACTTACGATTGTAAGTTACATTGCATACTAAGCCTTGTTGAATTTCGCACATGGAGGATATATAACAAAATAACTTTTTAGGTTTTTGTAAATATATTTTGAAATAACAAAAAATGATAAATTACTCTATCAATATTGCAGAATTTCACTGTAATTTATCAGGCTTAGTAACTAAACTGTATTTGGGTCAAAAACTATAGTTATTTGAACAACATTTTCACTTACCCCTTCTTTTGAGATAAAAGAAATAATTTTGCAAAATTCTCACCTCCAAGAGGCTGAGAAACATACATGGAAAAAATTCTGAGCTTTTGATTGGTTAAACACATGAAAGAGCAAAATGGGTATACATAGATATTTCCAAAAATAGAAAAGGTGGACTGGGCTACTGTGTTTGAATCGCTAAGTATAGTGATATAGGAGGTTCTTATTATATATTATAGCTTGTCAATATTGGTAATTTGTGTTTCTAATTCACAAGAAATTATATGCTTTGTATTTGAACATCACAAACTTCTACTTTGAACCAAAGCTGCATTTGACATACCATGTGACAAACAAAAATCAATATTTAGGAATTATTTCTTTTACATTTATTTTAAAGTAACAAATTAACGAATGCATAATACTAAAAGTTGAATTATAATCTACAATTTGATACCAAACATATTAACATACATTCATAAAGTAGTAGTTCAATACATTTTGAATGCAAGTCTACAAAAGTGATGACATGCACTTTGACCCCTGACAACAGGAAAATCTGTAGTGATAGGGTTAAAAGGTTTTACATTATACTAGCATTTTTTCTATACACAAATCTCAGTTAAAATCTGATAACTGTTGCCGTACAGAAGGTGAAATTTACTTTAAATAAACTTACTGTCTATTTACTGAATGTTTTCAAAGCCAGTTAAAACTCAAAAAGAAAATGAATAGTACTGATTATTTTTAGATTTTGATATGAAATACACAGAAAAATATATTGACATAAATAATTGGACAAGCAAGTGTTTTTATACTTGAAAGATGAATACTTTTTGGAAGCAACAATACATATATGATTTATATTTGAAGTTTAGGCATGTTTTGAGACTTTGTATGTTAAACTCTCTGACCATTTCCTCTAATTTACAATACTTACTGAACTTATTAATAGCACTAAACCAACTGTTGCAGTAATACATTAACTGTATAATAATAGGTTGGCAAACAAGGATATATAAGCAGAAGGAAAGGTTTTTATTGATGGTGGAACATACTACACATTTCGACAGGTCTTCTTCAGGTATGATCAGTACTAAGCAATCCAAGGTTTATCTATCGTTACAAATACAATAACTTCCTAACAAAACCACTCCCAAAGATTGGAACAAACACGACTGTGCCAGCTGGTTTAGACCAACCAACACTGCTGAAATGAAAAGGGCTAACCAAAACAAGAAAGTCTTGCATCATTTAATTAAATAAAAATTACTTAGTGCATTGCTACCATTAGTATAAAAAAGTAGGGTCAAGTGTCATCAACAGTTGACAGCAAAAAAAGAAAACCCAGATAAGTAATTTATTTCTTGTTTTTCATGTGTATTCTGTATATTTATTATTATAAAAATGTCAAAATGGGAATCTCTTTCAGTTATTTAAAGTTAGATTAGGTAAAATAAATAATAATATAATAAAAATGCAGCTAGGTAGCTCGTGAGTAACATAATTCAATAGCATAACATGAGCTCCATCTTTCCCGAGTGAGTTACAACTTATAATGGTGCAAATAGTAATTAGACATGGTTCAAAGGGCAATAAAACAATAAAATTTAAGTATAAATAGATGTATACTGTTACAAGTTTAAAGCTACTTGGGATAAATGAATGTAATTTCATGTTACAATTTGAAGTTATTCTAGAAAGAAAACAAGGGTAATTTATATTTATTTAGTTAAGGTAGAGAAAATAACAGATAAAATATAAAGTTTTACTATAAATGAACATTTGAAATATATTTAGGAGATTTAGGAGATGAAGAAAAGTATTTTTAATCTTCACATGAAAATCACTTTGCACTCAGACTAGTAAAAGAAAAGACTCGATATATTCATGAACAAATCTTTTTTTTAGTTTATTAAAAATACTTCACTAAAAATCTGATTTTTTGTATGTAAAAGACTTATAGTGTTTACTGAAAGTCTGCCAAATTTTGTGAAGATATACATACTACATTAAAAGTTAGTAGTATCAAAACTATAACGACTTTAAATGACTACAAAGTGATCACTTGGTCAGTCAATTTGACCAAGTGCATGTGGAGAGAGTTAAGACCCAATGTCATAATTTTCACACAAATAAAATCAAACACTAAGCCACGATAATGGCCCTAGCAACATCAGCCATATTACAAATTACAAATAATTAGTGTCTAATATGCTCAGTTGATGGAGAAATGCCACTAAGCTCTTGTGTTGGGTTTACTTACTGTATACTCTAGAGTGGCATTGATCTTACAATGCATGGAAGAAAGTGCCAAAACTAAATTTTATGATCTGGTTAATAGTCATACATATTTTTCATACTTCATTATAATATTTAGTTGAACAGCCTTAATCCTCAAACTACCAACTTGTTTTTATACAGTTCACTACTGGAAGGTCAACTTATTACATCATAATGATTAATTTTATGTTTTTGTCTGCTGTAAAATACACAGATGATTCATTAGTGGCTTTAAATGCAATATTGATAATATTTTGTGGGGTGACTCCTATCTTACTTGGGACATTGTGACCAACAAAGGGATCAACAAAATAGTACAGAAAAATGTGTTGAAAATGCTTACAGGGAACCAATTCTAGGGTTAAAACAAGTGAAAGCAGAATACATTTTGACTGCCATATTTGTATACTTTTTCTTTGGTTGTGCCTATCTGAATGTTCATTCATCAGGTCTTCAGGTCCACTGCTTAAAGTTTCCAAAGAGCATTAATATAATTTTGCAATTATCAATCATAAACATGTCTTTTATGTAAAAGATCTTTAAGCATTAATGTTTTCTCCACACCCTAACAATCCATGTATCCTGCCTAGCAATTTTGAAGCAACATAAGAAGTGAATTAGATTCTGCTTCAACCACAAGAAGTTTCTTTTTTCCTCTCAAATGGCTTTTTTATGACTATTTCTCCCCCATCAAGTAGATTTTCTTAAGTCACAAAAAATTAGATAACGATCACTTGACAACAATTAATATGTATTAATTAAGTACTCACCGTTTTCTTCCTTAGTCTCATGATGTCAGACACTGAACCACCACCACAATACTCCATAACAATCTAGAGGAATTCAGAAATAACCATATTAATAACATTAATATAACATATTAAAATAATGTCAATTAGACAGCATTAACTCTAATAGCCAGGTATAACTATAAAGCCACAAAGACAGGATTACCATAAATAGCATGAGAAAAAAATAAGGAAAAATTGATAAAAAAACAAGTTGAAAATTATCAACATCTTCAAGAAGGGTTTTTCATATTGCAAACCACTTCATAGATATCCATTTTCCAATAGTTTATAGTTCAAAAAACAAACAATTAATGTGGATTTCATCAAAAAATGAATAAATGAGAATGTTTCATAATGAAAAGTTCCCTATAATTTATTCATCTTCTGACTGTTTGACATCACAGCTGTATCATACACTGATACAGCTGTGAAGTTCCTAATATAAGTTTCTTACAGAATTTTTTAAATAAGGCTTGTAATCCATTTAGTCTGAAAACTCAAACCCAAATAATTTCAGTAGTACAGTACATATAAAAATAAAAAAGGTCACTTGTCAAGTACAATTTATGCATTCTTCTTTTACATTGAGAAATCTTTTAGCTTAGTATCTGCAGAAAAAAGTTTATTTCAATCCTAGGTTAGTAACATATGAAACTCGGTATCAAAAATTTAACTTGCAGAATTTTCTAATATACTGATTGTAGTTCACATATAAACTTAACCCTTTCGAGATGGGTCATAGGTGAAAGGCCATGTCATCTCGTTTGTTGACTCCCATTCAAAATTTTATTGAACTACTATTTCATGAATTTACGTCAATAAGTTTGGTATCAAACTGTAGATTATAACTCAAATTTTAGAACTTTACATTACTCAATTTCTTAATTTAAAAGTAAATATGAAAAAATTACAGATAAACATCGATTTTTGCATCACGTGGTAT